CTCTCTCTCTCTCTCTCTCTCTCTCTCTCTCTCTCTCTCTCTCTGCCTTTTGGTTAATTTGGATAAGGGCTTATCTATCTTCTTGATTTTTTCAAAAAAACAACTCTGTTTTATTTATTGTTTGTGTTTTTCTTTTTGTTTCTATTTCATTGATTTTAGCCCTCAATTTGATTATTTCCTGGCATCAATGCCTTCTGGGTGAGGTTTGCTTCTTTTTGTTCTAGAATTTCCAGGTGTGCTGTTAAGTCATGAGGGTTAGATTTATCCATCTTCTTTATGTCAGTATTTAGTGCTATGTATTTTCCTCTTAGCCCTGCTTTCATAGTGTCCCATAAGTTTTGGTATGAAGTACTTTCATTTTCATTGAATTCTAGGAAACCTTAATTTCTTTCTTTATTTCTTCCTTGACTCATGGGTGATTCATGTGGACACTGTCCAGTTTCCATGAGGCTTTCTGTAAATTTTGTTGTTGTTGAAATCTAACTGAGCCATGGTGGTCCAATAGGATACAGGAGGCTATTCCATTTTTTTTTAATCCATTGACATTTGCTTTGTGATTGAATATGTGGTTGATTATAGAGGAAGTCCCATGGGGTGCTGAGAAGAAGGTACATTCTTTTGTGTTTCAGTGAAATGTTCTGTATATATCTACTAAGTCCATTTGAGTCATAATTTCTGCTAGGTCCCTTATTTCTCTGTTAAGTTTCAATCTGGCAGGTTCACCCAGTGGTAAGTTGGGGTGTTGAGATCTCCTACTATTAATGTGTGGGGCTTGATGTGCAATTTAAGCTTTAGTAATGTTTCTTTTATGTATATGGGTGTTCTTTTATTTGGGGCATAAATGTTCAGAATTAAGACTTCAGCTTGGTCGATCTTCCCTGCAATAAGTATGTAATGTCTTCCTGATCTCTTTTGATTGATTTTAGTTTGAAGTCTATTTTCCTGGATACTAGGATAGCTACACCAGCCTGCTTCTTAAGTCCATTTAATTGGAAAGTCTTTTCCCAGCCTTTTACTCTGAGGTAGTGTCTGTCTTTAAAGTTGAGGTATGTTTCTTGTATGCAGCAGAAGAATGGATCCTGTTTTTGTATCCATTCTGTGAGCCTGTATCTTTTTATAGGTGAATTGAGACCACTGATATTAATGGATATAAATAACAGTGATTGTTAATTACTGTTATTTTTGTTGGTAATTGTTGTGTGTTTCTCTTTTTTTGGTATTTTTTGGTGTGTGATTATTTATTGGCTATATTTTCATGGTTGCATCTAACTTCCTTAGGTTGGAATTATCCTTCTAGTGCTTTCTGTGGGGCTGGATATGTGCATAGGTATTGTTTAAATCTGGTTTTATCATGGAATATTTTGTTTGCTCCATCCATAGTGATTGAGAGTTTTGCTGGATATAATAATGTGGGTTGGCATCCATGGTCTCTTAGTGTCTGCCTAAGGTCCGGACAGGACCTTCTGGCTTTCAGAGTTTCCATTGAGAAGTCAGGTGTTATTCTGATGGGCCTGACTTTATATGTTACTTGGACTTTTTCCTTTGCAGCTCTAACTATTTTTCTTTATTATGTATGTTTAGTGGTTTGATTATTATGTGGCAAGGGATTTTTTTAGATCCAGTCTATTTGGTGTTCTGTAAACTTCTTGTACCTTCACAGGCATTATTTAAGTTGGGAAAGTTTTCTTCTATGATTTTGTTGAATATATTTTCTATGCGTATGAGTTAGAATTCTTCTTCTTCAATCCCTATTGATCTTAGGTTTGGTCTTTTCATGGTGTTCAAGATTTCCTGGATGTTTTATGTTATGACTTTTTTGACTTTAGTGTTTTCTTTGACTGATGAATCTATTTCCTCTATTGTATCTTCAATGCCAGAGATTCTCTCTTCCATCTCTTGCATTGTGTTAGTTATGCTTGCATCTGTAGTTCCTGTTTGTTTACTCAGATATTCCATTTCCAGCCTTCCCTCAGGTGTGTCTTCTTTATTGCCTCTATTTCAGTTTTCAAATCTTGGACTTTTTCATTTACCTGTTTAATTACTTTTTCTTGGCTTTCTTTAAGGGATTTACTGATTTCTTCCAATTATTTGTTTGTCTTTTCTTCAAATTCTTTAGGGGTAGTTTTCATTTCATCTTTAAAGGACTCTATTATCTTCTTCAAGCCATTTTAAAGGCCTATTTCTTCTACTTCTTCTGCTTTGGAGTGTTCAGGTCTTGCTGATATAGCACCACTAGGTTCTGATGGTGCCATATTGGTCTTTATGATGTTGACTGTATTTTTGCAATGGTGTCTACCCATCCCTTCCTCCATTCCATGCAAGTGCTGTCTGTTTCTGAGGGAAACTCTTTTGGTTCAGTTGATACTTTTGGTCTAATGTGAGGTCTTGGTCAAATCCAGGCTCTTGGTCCAATTTGTGCTGATGGAATTTGTGTCTCAGGGAGCAGAACGGGCACCAGTGGGCTCTATCTCAGGGAGCAGCTATTCCCAATGGGTACAGGGTAGGACTTGTTTTCTGTTCCCAATTGGTGCAGGGTAGGCTTATGTCTCTGTTTTCACAGGTATCACAGGGGGACGTTTTCTTGGCAAGGAGGTAGGGAAAGGGGCAGCTGGCTAGTCCCTGGGGCGGCTCCAATGGTTTGTAGGAAGTGCACAGGGTGTTCCCTCCAAGGCCTAGGAACTAGGGACCTTGTCTGCCCAGTCCAGAAATGGGGCTTTACCTGTTCCCAATTGGTGCAGGGTAGGCTTGTGGCTCTGGTTTTCACTGGTGTGACAGGGGGCTATTCTCGTGGCCGTAACTGAACTTTGAATATTTCTATTGCCCACAAATTTATAAGTAACAAGAATAACTAAATAAAGTGAATTTTCAGCAGTAGCTTCTATTTGAAAATAGATTGTCTATATGTGAGACACAGTGAGGGGCTCGTCTATTTTTTTTAAATATGTATTTCAGAAATCTTACTGAAACGCTGAGTAAGTTCAATTTTTACTATACTAAACTAAAGGATTTTATGAAAAAGACTCAATTCATTAACCAATCAATTTTATCTGGATTTTATTTTGTTCTTAAAATATTTCAAAGAGTTTTCATCAGGTTTAACAAGAATAATATAGCACTTTGGGAAAAAGATGCATCCTAGCAGCCCTGCACTGGAAGTCAAGATGGAGAACATTTCCACAGCCACCATGGCCTTGTCCTTGGTGCTGTGGTAGACAGGGAGGAAGGTGACCCAGACACTGCAGAACACCAGCATGCTGAATGTCAGGAACTTGGCTTCATTGAATGTGTCAGGCAGGTTCCTGGCCAGGAAAGCCAGAGTGAAGCTCCCTAGGGCCAGGATCCCCAAGTATCCCAGCACACAGTAGAAAGCAGTAAGTGATCCCTTGTTGCACAAAATGATGATGTGACTCTGTTCAGAGTGCGCATCTGCCTCAATATAGGGAGGTGAGGTTCCTAGCCAGACTCCAAGAAGAATAAACTGGATCAGGACACAGATGGGGATGACAGAGTTATGGATGCCTGAGACAAGCAGCCTTTTCATTGTCCTTCCTGGCTTCAGGGCTCTAAAGACCAGAATTACAGTTATAGTTTTGGCCAAAACAGTGGAAAGAGCCAGAGTGAACACAAGTGCAAATGCAATTTGCTGCAATATGCAGGAGGCTGTGCTTGGGTGGCCAATGAAGAGAAAAGAACATAGAAAGCAGAGGAGGAGGGAGATGAGCAGGATGAAGCTGAGTGTCCGGTTATTGGCCTTAACAATGGGTGAATCTTGGTGTTTGAGAAAGATCCCCAAAACTACAGCTGTGCTGACAGAGAAGCACAGAGCTGTGCAGGCCAGAGCCTTGCCCAGAGAATCCTCAAAGGACAGGAATGTCACTGATTTGGGAAGGCAGATGTTTCTTTCAGGGTTTGGATACTCTTGAAGTGGGCAAGGGATACAATCCTGCTGATCTATGGGAAGAAATGAATAAACATTTAAGCTTCTACAATTATTTACACTTTGTACTTCAGCCATGAGAGCACTGAGGTTGTGTGTAGCCTTGCTCATTTGGCCTTACTATCATGTCAAGAAGGAAAATAACTCTTTAGACATCCCCTTCCTAATGTCTGCCATGAATACCTCATGATATGCCATGGGCTGACAAAATTATTCTTCTTTGTCTAAGGCAATGAAAATAAATTTGTAATCTACTTGTTCAACTGAAGTAAAACTGTCAAGTAATCCTTTAAAGAATTCTCAACTTAAGCCATACCAGTTTGATCAGACTTCAACTGTTCAGGTGTGTAGTCAGAAAGTTTTGTATGTGTGTCCCAGCCTGCTGGTGGTAGGGACAAATCTCTCCCACTTGTGTCCCCCAAGTAAACACACAGAGGCTTACATTAATTATAACTCTATGGCCACTAACTCAGGCCTATCATTGACTAGCTCTTACACTTAACTCAGCCCATTTTTGTTAATCTACATGTTGCCAAATGTTCCATGGCTTTACCTGTGTGCTCCCTGGACTGTGGGCTGGCTTCTGCTGACTCAGCCTTCCTCTTTCTAGAATTCTTCTTGTCAGTTTATCCCAACTATACTTCAAGCTTGGCTACTGGCCAGTTAGCGTTTTAATTATCAACCACTCAGAGCAACACATTCACAGCATACAGAAAGATATTCCCCATCACATATGCAGGCAAACCAGTCAGAACAGTGATCCCCTGTTATACCAAAGGCCAAGCTAACAGCCAGAAGGACAACTTCCAACTTGATCAGGGATTGCCAACTAGACCAGAGGTCAGACCAGCTGCCAGAAAACCTGGCCACCAAGACTAAAAAACTAAAGAGCAAACAGAAACAGAGAAAGAAAACAACCAATGAATGAAGAGAAACTTTGAATTCAGGGACTAGAACTAATCATTCCAAACCCAGATGCCTAAATGCCAGTGAAAAAATACAATAAACAACAGCTAAAGCATTATGACCCCACAAAAGCCATCCATCCCGTGATATCAAGATCTGAATATTTCAACATTGCCAAAGCAAAAGAAAATTACCTTGAAACAACTTTATTGAATATGATAGAAGCCCTTAAGGAAGAAATGAAAAACTCCTTTAAATTATTGATGAAAAACTAATTGAAAAATTAGATGAAATTAACAATTCCCTTAAAGAATGTCAAGAAAGCCAAGAATAAAACAAGCTGGTGGAGAAAAGTATCCATGGCATCAAAATTGAAATAGAAGCAATAGCAAAACCACAAACTTAATAATTTCAAGAAAAAGAACAATCTGAGTGAGCAAACGTGAACTACAGATACAAGCAGCACCAACAGAATGCAAGAGATACAAGATGTTGAATGCAAAAGAAGTAGTTTCATTGGGCAAAGAAAAATACTCAATCTAAAAAACTCTTAACACAAAACATCAAGGAAATCTGGGACACTGTGAAATGACCAAATCTAGCAATAATCAGAAAAGAAAAAGGAGAAGAATCTCAGCATAAAAACCTAGACAATACATTTAACAAAATCATAGAAGAAAATTTCCATTACTTAAAGAAGGACATGCCTCTAAAGGTACAAGAAGTTTAGAAAAAACACACAACAACAAATAGATTAGATCAGAAAAAAATTCCTCACGTCACATAATAACCAAAACACTACATGTATAGAACAAAGGAAGACTACTAAAAGCTGCAAGGGAAAAAAGGCCAAGTAAAATATAAAGGCTACCTATAACAATTACACAGGACTTCTCAAATGAGATTCCAAACCACAGAAGGGCATAAACAGGTGTCTTGTAGATGTTAAGAGACAACAGACAACAGCCCAGACTACACCTAGTGAAATTATCAAAAACCATAGATTTAAAAACCGAAAGTCAAATTTAAACAATACCAACCCACAAATCCAGTCCTATAGATGCTACTCAAAGGAAAACTCTAACCCAAGGAAGTTAAATAACACCCACAAATACACTAGCAATAGTTAATCTTTCATCAATAAAATCAAAAGAAGGAAAACACACACACACACACACACACACACACACACACACACACACACACACTACTATCACCAGCACCAACAATTTAATAACAACAATTACAATCACTGGTTATTAATATCTCTCAACATCAATGGACTATATTCCCCAATAAAAACCATACTGGCTGCATTTTGTATCCATCCATCAGAATGGAATTAAAATAGGATCTATCCTTCTGTTGTATACAAGAAACATACCTCAACATTAAATATTCCCTCAGAGTAAATGATTGAAAAAATATTTTCCAATTAAATAGACCTAAGAAGCAAGCTGATGGAACTATCTTAATATGTAACAGCATAGGCTCATGCAAAAGCTAATCAAAAGAGATGAAGAAGGAAGTTTATGATTGGAAAAAATCCACCAGGATGACATCTCGCATTTGAATATCTATGCCTCAAATGCACATTTGTGCCTTTTGTGAAAGAAACAATTCTAAAGCTTACATCACACATTGAACCCCACACATTACTAATGGGAAACCTCAACACCACACTCTCACCATTGAATAGGCCATCCAGATACAAACTAAACAAAGAAATAATGGAATTAATAGACATTATGACTCAAATGGACTTATCAGGTATCTACAAAACATTTCACCCAAACACAAGAGAATATATCTTCTTCTCAGCACCTTCTCCAATGAGCCTTCTCCAAAATTGACCATACACTTGGGCACAAGGCAAATATGCATAGCTATAAAAATATTGAAATAACCCTCTGTATCCTATCAGACCACCATGGATTAAGCAAGATTAAGCCTACAAACTTAGGAAAACTGAAGTCTTGACTTCTTGACTTCCGGGTCAAGGAAGAAATAAAGAAAGAAATTAAGCCTTCCTATAACTCAATGAAAATGAACACATAACATAGGTAAACTGATGGGATACAATGAAAGCAGTACTAAAAGAAAATGCAGAGCACCAAGTGCCTGCATAAAGAAACTAGAGAATTTTCATACCAGAAACTTAACAACACACTTGAAAGCTATTGGACAAAGACAAGAAGGCCTACCCAAGAGGAGTAGATGGCAAGATACATCCAAATATATAGAAGAAGCACAGAGTACACCAATAGACAAGAGCAGAAAAGAAAATCCCTACAGCATACCATTACTAAAACACTAACAAAGACAAATATTTTAGAATAAATTTTAATTATAACAAAAAACATAATAAGAAGGTGTGTTGAAAGCTACAAGAGAAAACAAAACACAAGGCAAATATAAATGAAAATCCAAGAGAATAGAAGCAGATTTCTAAATGGAATCCATGGGAGCCAGAAAAGCCTAGAGCAAAGCATGTCAAGTCCTGAAAGACTATGTTGGCCAGCCTACAGAAATGTATCCAGCAAAAATATCTGCCTAACTGAAGGAAAAATAAAAACTTTCCAAGACATAAACAGTCTACAAAATCATATCCACCAAACCAGAATTAAAGAAAATATAGGAAATAATATTTGAGACTGAAGAAAGCAATGACCATAGCAGAGAGATGGTGGAAAGAAATAAGAAGACATAATTATTTCAACATAAAACACCACTGAGAACACAAAAAACAACTCTAATTTCAATAGCAGAGTGACCACAAATAACACAAGTTTCTACAATTTCTTAAATATCAATGGCCTCAATTCTTCATTTAAAAATGTGGACTAGCTGAATGGATCATAACACAAAATTCATCTGCCTGTTCTCTACAAGAAACATATCTTGATTTTAAAGATAAGCACCACCTTAGACTGAAACAATAGGTGAAATACAGTTTCATACATTCATGAAGCAAGCATGCATGCCTACCATAACATCTTGCAAAGTAGATTTTAATTTAAAACTAATTGGAAAAAAGTAAAACAGGAAACTACATTCCAATGAAGGGAAGAGTTTATCAAAAAGACATTACAGCTCTACACATGCATGCATCCAATTCTGGGGAAGCTAATTTTATAAAAATTGTACTGCTGTGTTTAGTGACACAGTAACAACAATCTACTAGTAGTGTGTGAATTCAAAAGCCCACTTTATCCAAGAGACAGGGCATCTGGGAAAAAATAAAGAGAAATATATCAGAATTAAGTCACATCTCAAATTTCCTGGACTCAACAGATATCTACATAGTATCCCCCACAAACTGCAAAGAAAATTTAGTCTACTCTTTAAAACATGGGAGCTCTTCAAAAATAACCCAAATCATGGAACACAAAACAGGTATTTACAAATTCAAAAAGATTGAAATACCTGTCCTATCTTATGCCAATACAAGAAAACTTAAACTTGACAGCAAATATATCTCTAGTAAATACACAGACTGCTTGGAGATAAAACAACTCAGTACTTAATGATGAATGAGTCAAAGAAGAAATCAAGACAGAAATAAAAATTTTCCTGGATGTTTATCTGTGGATTCTGTGGAGTATCCGATGCAGATAAGCACTGGAGGGCTCCTGTTGCAAATCACCCTCTGGAGCGATGGAAGGATCTTTCTACTAGCACGCGGAGGAGACCCAATCTAGGGTTGGCATGGCCCTGGGGTTCTGTTTATGTCTTTCCTCAGGACACAGAGGTTCCTCTTTGGATTCCTGAGCACCGACCGTGCCCTGTGGCTGCTGCTGAAGCCCAACATGACAGAGACCTAATGGGTCTTCATGAAAAAATCTACCCTTCTGATGCCAATGGAGATTGAGAGAATGGAATAGCAGAGAAGGAATGATCAGAAGGTGGAAATGCAAAAAGAGGGAGACTCTAGTCATGGAGGTAAGAGAGAGATAAATACAGGTGAAGGAGGGAAGAGAGTGAAATAACAGTAAGAATGTCCAGAATAAGTGATGTGATCTGAAAAGGAAAATGGGATAGGGGAACTTTAGGGAAGAGGAAGGGAAGTAAATTCAGAAGAAGGAGGAAGGTGGGAAAATATCAGTAAGGATGTCAGAAAAGCCACAAAGACTCATAATATTACTATACCTAGAAAAACTCTACAGTAACATTAATTCTCTTTATACTGATACATAGAGGTCTAGTAAACCTTTCTCCTCTGGGCTGATGCTCCTCCCTCCAAGAACAAGACTATGAACACAACACCAGGCGTGAGAAGCTTCCTTTGGAGTTGTTGTCCAGGGTTGGTGAAGGGTTCCCAAAGCATACCGCCTGTCGCTGTTGCCCTTTTTCATCCTACAAAGTTGAAAAGTGAGTCCCTACTGCTGACAATACAATGTACTTCAGAAACAGAGCCCAGAAACCCTTGAGGTGGAACTTACATGAATGCTTTTACCCTGAGGACTGGTTTCACAGTACCAGAAGACATCATGCAAGCTTCCAAATGATGGAGATAACCAATAGTCCTAGCCTACTATGTCCACTAAGAGCCATTTCAATGACCAGCATAGCACAAAACCCTAAGGGTGTGGTAGTGGCCTGCATACCTTGACAGTATTCAACAGCTCTTTAAATAGGACTCAAGACCCCTTTCCAATAAAGAAACCATTCCTATACCTGAAACCTAATTACTCAATGATAGTGAAGTCATGATTATTACTAATTTACTAAACCAGCATAATCTGTAACAACAATCTGTAAATGTTTGTTCTGATACCCATAGATAATTGTAGTCTTCACCACACATACTCCCAGCAAGAAAACTTCTCTTCACAACAGATGAGACCATTATAGACCAATCAAATGCAGATTTGTGGAGGGCATCTCAAGTGGATAAATCTCCAATACCATTCCCAAACCTAGGGCTCACAGAACATTTTCAGATTAGGATATGGAAAGATGGTAAAAATTGAAAGTTCGGGGATTTTTCTGTGAGATTGTGTCTCCTAGTAACATCATAAGCTAAACCCATAAGTCCTACCAACATGACCACCTAGATATGTGGAACTGACCAGGGACAACAGCAACAGACATGCCAAAGTATTCAGGAGAATGACCACATGCCCCAACCCTACCCAAAGAACAGGATGCAACTACAAAATGTTGAGAGGGGGAGAAATGGTCTTCCCCAGGGAAGAGCACATACCAAACGGTCAGCCCTAAGAACATATATGCAAGTAATGTCATACAGAACAATCCAGTTAGTTATATTAGTAATTCATGTATATACATATATGATTGTAACCCAATCAATAAAAAAGAGGCTGTTAATGTGAAAGAGAGTAATAAGGTGTATATGGCACTTTTCACATCAAGGAAAAGGAAAGAGAAGTGACACAATTTCTTTATAATTTCAAAATCAAAAGAAAAGGAAACAAAAACCAAATGCTTGATGTAGCAATTGCTCTAAGAATCAGGGTAGGTGTTAGTGTATATATAACTCTGTAGAGAAAAGCACTCACCATGCAAACCTGATAACCTGATTCTGAATTCTAAACACATGGCAAAGTCAAGGAAGATGCCCCAGCTCCACAAAGGTGTCTTCTGTCCTCCACATGTGAGCTGTGACACATACATGGATGCACACATGCACACACACACACATCAAAATAATCAGAAAGAGTTATTTTAATAACCTTTCTTTACCTGAAGACATCCACTAAGGAATTAAATATTTCCAGTTATCCTGCCCTTATGATGATGACAATCACAGAGCACTCTGCCAATAATTTGACCTATGGTAACATTAGCTTTTAGAAAACTAAATTCTATTTAATTAATCTCCCTGAATTTCATTTGTTGTGATAACACATTCCATTTGTTATACAGTTCCTTAAGTGTTAGTTTTATTGAAGCCAGTAGTTAAATAGTAGATTGTCATCATTATCAGAATTTCATATTTTACTTTCACCAATTTTTCTTTATGTTATCTTTCATTATTTAAATTGTAATATAATTACCTCATTACCTCTCTTCTCATTTTTCCTAATCTCTCTCCTGGTCTCAACATAGTTTGTTTTTTAATAAATTTATTCCTCTTTTTCATTAATTGTTGAATTGTGTGTATGCATGCATGCATGTATTCCTAAATACTACCTGTTATGTCTATATAGTATTAGCTGTATATATGATCTAAGGGCTCACCACCATTCCAGACAAAGATCTAGAGGCAGCGTGGCCTTCCTTTACAAAGACTTGTTTTTCATACTATGTTTGATATTCTAAATGAAAACTGTAAGTGTTGAAAAATTAATTCTATGTATGGTACATTTAGGAAACAGCCCCACATGTACTTGTCCAGGAATTATTTTCAGGAAAGAATCATTTATTCAAGGAATACACATGCATCCTGGACACTCGCACACCTCATATTGTCTGGCAGTACATAGCATGGATCACTGCAAGAGCTGAGATGAAACTACCATGTAATGAAAGGCAGTTTTGGGAAGTGGGGATGAAGATGACACAATAACATAAGGGCTGCCACTCAAATGTTTACACATTGTGTGGCATCAGCAGTGATTACTAATGAATATGGGGATGAGTAGAGAAGATATTGCTGCATCACACCATGGTCATGTCTTAGTTTTCTCCTACATTCACAAACAGATTGAGGAAAATATTAATTCTCTACCTGTCTCGTTGGAAATGTAACTCTCTGGACAAAGCACACAAGAAAAACAGCAGATTGGTCTTTCATCTTCCAGAATTTTCCAGAAACCTGGACCACAGCTCTGTGTACATACAGATTGAGGAGTCTGAGGGCAACACAGAAAAAAAATCTTCATAATTTTGTGCATCAGTCACAGCCTTAAAATATTTTTAAGCTAACCTACTTAAACTGCAAGCAGACTCTGAAAATTATACATATTTATGAGTTACTCTGAAGTCTCCATATGGTAGTATAGAATGAAGAGTTGAAATTATCACACTTTCTGATGCTAAAAGTTCGAAATTTCTTTATGGTGTCCCAACTGTGACTAACTTCTGCTAGCTTTTGTGACATGTGTAGGACATCTGTATATTCTCTCCTGTGAGACAGCATGCCAGAAATCCTTCCTTGTATGAATTATGAAACAGCTGAGTTGTCAGACATAAACCCAGTCAGACCTCTCTATCAACCTTTATCTTCCCAGCTTATAGTCACAACCATTCAGTCTGATTTAGATTTATCATGAAAGAGCATATAGCCATTGGTGGATGGCCACAGCTTCTCCTGACACCATCATATGTTGATAGTCCATAGACGCTGAATTATGATCCATTACTGTGACTTTTATCCTTGACTCTCCATATCCAGAATAGTGCTATGTTTTTTCTTCCAAACATTAGCAATATCGTCACTTAGAATTTTCATCAATTGACTTCTTAGTTAATCACTTAACAACTTTACTTCTGAGAGTCTACCAGTGCAGATTAGGCTAAGAGGTGAGTCTTTATTCTCATAGCCAATCACCCCAACCTCTAGGCTTTGGGCCCAGGGGCACATTCCTGCACCCCCACACCACCATCCATTGAAGTCCCAGTATGAGGCCAGCAGGCAGGTCTCTTGCAGGCAGGTCAGACTACCACCATCCCTCACTGGATCCTATAAGTAAAAGCCCCACCCCACCTCCTAAACCCACTCACACTCTGAGACCATGGCTGATTCCTGAGACACAGAGTCTATCAATATTAACTGGACCAAGAGCTCTGATTAGAATAAGAGTTCCCATTGGACCAAGAGTATCAATCAAACTAAGACAGTCTCCCTCAGACACAGACACCACTTGAACCAAGTAGAGGAAGAGATGAATAGACACCAGTGCAAAAATACAACCAACAATATAAAGACCAATATGGCAACACCAGAACCTAGTGGCTCTACATCTGCAAGACTTGAACATTCCAATGCAGAAGAAGCAGAATAAATTGATTTTAAAAATGACTTTAAGAGGATGACAGAGGTCTTCAAAGAGGAAATGAAAATTCCCTTAAAGAAATTGAGGAAAGACAAACAAAAAATTAGAATAAATCAATAAATCCCTTAAAGAAAACCTATAAAAAGCAATTAAACAGGTGAAGGAAACAGTTCAAGATTTAAAAACTGAAATAAAGACAATAAAGAAGACACAAACTGAGGGAATGTTGGAAATAGAAAATCTGAGTAAATGAACAGGAAACAAAGATGCAAGCATAAACAACAGAATACAAGTGATGGAAGAGAGAATCTCTGCCATTGAAGATATGATAAAGGAAATAGATTCCTCAGTCAAAGAAAACACTAAAGCCAACAAAGTCATAACACAAAAATGTCCAGGAAATCTAAAACACCATGAAAAGACCAAACCTAAGAATAATAGGGATAGAAGAAGGAGAAGAATACCAACTCAAAGGCACAGAAAATATATTCAACAAAATCATAAAAGAAAACTTTCCAACATAAAGAAGGAAATGCCTATGAAGATACCAGAAGTGTATAGAACACCAAACAGAGTAGACGCCCAAAAAGTACCCTCAACACATAATAGTTAAAACACTAAACATACATGACAGAGAGAATATTAAGAGCAGCAAAGGAAAAGGCCAAGTGACTTATAAAGGCAGACCCATCAGAATAACACCTGATCTCTCAATGGAGCTGATGAAATCCAGAAGGTCCTGGACAGATGTAATGCAGACACAGAGAGACCATACATACCAGCCTAGACTAATATACCAGCAAAACTTTCAATCACCATAGATGGAATGAACAAGGCATTCCAAGGCAAAACCAGTTTTAAACAATACCTATCCATAAATCCTGTTCTACAGAAAGCACTAGAAGAAAAATGCCAATCTAAGGAAGTCAGATATACCGACAAAAAGACAGGCAATAGTTAACCCTGCAGCAGTGAATCCCTAAGAAGAGAAAAACACACACACTACCACCAAAAGATAACAGGAATTAACAATCACTGGTCATTAATATCCCTTAATATCAATGGACTTAACTCACCTATAAAAAGACACAGGATAACACAATGGATATGAAGTCAGGAACCATCCTTCTGCTACATATAAGAAACATACCTCAACTTCAAAGAAGACACTTTCTCAGAATAATAAATAAAATAAAAGGCTGGAAAAAGACTTTCCAGTCAAATGGACTTAAGAAGCAAGCTGGCGTAACTATCTTAGTATCTAATAAAATAGACTTCAAACTAAAGTCAATTAAAAGAGATCAGGAAAGACATTACATATATATCACTGGAAAAATCGACTAAGATGAAGTCTCAATTCTGAACATTAATGCCCCCAAATACAAGAGCACACACATTTGTAAAAAAAAAAAAAATTACTAAAGCTTAAATCATACATCAAACCCCACACTCTAGTAATGGGAGACTGCAACACCCCACACTCACCAATGGACAGGACTCCCTGACAGAAATTTAACAGAGAAATAAGGGAATTAACAGATATTATGACTCAAATGGACTTAATAGATCTCTATACAACATTCCACCCTAACACTAAAAAATATATCTTTTTCTCAGCACACAATGGAACCTTCTCTAAAATCAACCACATGCTTGGTCACAAAGCAAATCTCAACAGACATACACAAAAAATTAGAATAACCTCAGGTATTTTCTTAGACTGCCATGGCTTAAAGCTAGATTTCAACAACAATAAAAATTACAGAAAGCCTACAATCTCATGGAAACTGAACAATGCCCAACTGAATCACCACTGGTCAAGGAAGAAATAAAGAAAGAAATTAAAGACTTCCTACTATTCAATGAAAATGAATGTACTACATACGTAAACTTATAGGACACCATTAAAGCAGTGCTAAGAGGAAAATTCATAGCACTAAATGCTCACATAAAGAAGATAGAAAAATCTCATATTAGTGACTTAACACTATACCTGAAAGCTCTAGAGCAAAAAGAAGCAAACTCACCCAGGAGGAATAAATGCCAGGATAATCGATTGGAGAGCTGAAATCAATAAAATAAATACAAAGAAAACAATACAAAGAATCAATGAAACACAGAGTTGGTTCTTTGAGAAAATCAACAAGATAGACAAACCTTTATCCAGACTAACAAAAAGACAGAGAGAGGGAGAGAGAGAGAGAGAGAGAGAGAGAGAGAGAGAGAGAGAGAGAGAGAGAGA